ATGCGATTACTCAGACTTCTCCCTCGCTGTCCACCATCCACCGTGGCTTCCGCAAGGAATACTGTGCATATATGGATAAAGCTTGTACTATCTGCTAAAGTTAAATGGATGGCGATGCTCTCTATTCTCGAGGTCTCAGAGGTCTCGGAAATGAACATGGCTGTAATAACATTGCTCCAAGTTCGTGTGCATGACTTCTCGTGAATCAAAATTATTTCATTAACTAAACCCCTATTGTACCGAAGGTTGATAACTTGAACCCCAACCACTGCAACCCAAACCTCGACTTCTCACAAACTCAAAAAGGTCAAGGCCATATAGGGTTATCTACTTTCCGGGTATTGTATCTCGTGTCATACCACAACCTCCCGGCTTTTCAACCACCCTAGACAACGGAAATCTAAACCGCCGCCGGGTCCAATCCGGAATGAGTCTCTGTCATCACCGTCAAACCCGTAGTATAGCCCAATCCAGCCCCAAAGCACCCACCCAATCAACGCATCTCAAACCTTCTCAAAATAAATCAATCAAATCAACCTCCGCCCCATCCCCGCCGCGTAGCGCCAGGTCTAACCCCACCTTAACCGCACTCTCTCCCTCGCCTTCTGGCTCCACCATCGACATTCCCGTTGCCATCATCGACACTGACGTCTCAGGGCCGTCGCTCTCGACACCCGATGATGATGAGGCTGATCCCGAGCCCGAGCCCGAGTCCGAGGCCGGTCCAGGTTCTTCCCAAGTTGGGCTGGTTGGGGAGAGGGATAGGTCGACGAGGATTTGGTGTTGTTGCTGTTTTGATGACACCACACTGGTGCTGGGGGCGGTGCTGGCGGCAGTGTGAGCAGGTTGAGGGGTACTAGGCGAAGGATCATACACCTCCCACACTTCTTTCGCCGCGGTGAGGAGACGGCGCGGGGTATTGATGTTGATATTGCTCACTTGTAAAGACCCAGTGGTACCAGTGGAGTTGGGAGATTGTTTATGAGGTGCAGCGGGTTTCTCCATCTTCTCCCTCTTCGCCCCCTTCGGTGCCTTCCCGTTATTAGCGCTCTGTGGAAGTGGCTTCTTGAGGGATGTTGTCGTAACACTGGCGGTCTGTTTCTGCGGCAGAGTCGATGGTTGTTGACCCGACTGCGAATCTTTTGCTGGCTCTTTGGGGGATTGGGCACCGGGATGTGTTGCTGCGTTCCAGAGTATGTTTTCTTTTCCGTTGGGATTACTGGTGTTGTTGGAGTTGTTGGGGTTCACGTGGCAGGTGATGCTTTCTAGGTCTAGCTTGGATGGTGGTGTGGTGATTGTGCTTGGAGTATGTGATGTGAGAGCTGGTGATGCTGTAGAAACCGCTGGTACGGTATTCGTCTCCGTTGCAGTCGCCGTCGCCGTAGTAATCGTCGTAGTAGTCGCAGTGACAGTAGTATTCTTGTCCCGTGTATTCAACACCCCATTCACCGGCCCCATCCCCATCTGTCCCATCCAGTGTCCAAAACCTGCTCCATTCCCCCCCCTCCCATCAGCATACTGGCCCATTCGCCAATCCCCTCTCGCTCTGGTATTTAAGCCCGTTATGTTGGCTCTCACATTGCCCCCCAGATTCGCATGAGAGCCAGTGCCAATACTCGTGACCCTGGGTCCGGTGGGGATAGGGTTTAATTCCACTGCGTTGACATGCCGACGGCTGTTCCGCCATGCGCTGTTGAAGCCACGGCTACCGGGTATCGCTGGCCGCGGGGAGGGGTTGCTACGTGGGCTGATGGTGTGGTTATTGCAGTGGTTGCAGAGAGAGGTTGGAGGGTCGGAGCGGTGCCGAGGGAGTTTCGGGTTTGTGAAGGGGGCGAGAGGACGGTGATTACGGGTTTGGTCGAGGGAGGGGGAGGGGGAGGTATCGTTGATGATCTGGATTGGAGGTTAGTGGATCGTACGAGTGATGATACCATGAGGGCGATGAAGTATTTGGGAAATCCAATAACCAAAGGGAAAGGGGCTATAAAACTCACATCCAGCACAAACCCATGCGCCAACCTCTCCGCACTCCCCACCTCCCCATTCGTATTCCCCATTACCACACACCTGGCCTGAACCCACCCCTCCCCCCTCTCCCCCTCCTTCCCGTCCCCCCAAACACCCCCCAACTCCTTCCCCTCCCTCACCAGCCTTCCCACCTCCCTCCTAACCCACTCCTCAACCCTCTCATCCCTCGCATACTCCAGCTTCACCCCCTCCTTGCTCAGCCGCGCCCAATTAAACAGCATCCTCTTCAGCGGCATCCGCACGGTCAACACATCGGCCTGGCGGTTGAAGCTGCAGAGGTGTGCGGGGGCGCTGAGGCGGGTGATGCCGCCTTGATGCGGGAACGAGAGGACAAGGATCTTGATGTCGCGGACGTAAATCAGACGGAGAGATTGCTTGGAGGTTGAGGGAAGGATCGTTTCAGAGAGGAGAGTGGCGGAGAGGAGGGGGAGCGCGCGCATGTTGCGGAGTTTGTCTTTTGGGATGGGGTCGGTGGGACGGGGGAGGAGGGGGGACGGGCCGATGAAGGTGTAGCCGCAGGGCATGGTGGTGGTAAGTGGTTGAAGGTGAAGGTTGAGGGTCAGAGGTTGGAAGTTGAAGGTTGGAAGTGTTGGGATAGGGTTGGTAGATGGAGTGGATCCGGGAGATGGAACGCGTGGGATGAGTTGGAGGAGGTAGTATCCTATATAGCCTTTGTAGGTGGGTGTCTAGAGTAGGTGTTTACCGCGATTCACGTATCGTCTCCTCGAATGCCGTCAATCGAAATCGCTATCAAGCCGGTATTGCATCTGTTTCTGTTCTGAGAAGAGGAAGGGGAAGAAGAAGCAGAAGCAGAAGAAGAAGGGGAAACCCACAAATCTTCTGTGACTGCAGCGTCGCGGCGCAAGCATAAAGAAGAACCCCTGGTGGAAAGCGCAGTGGAAGAATACTTTTGAATAACGTCCGAGTTTGACACGGCATGATCGTTTCGGTATCCGGGCGCGTGTTTTCGTCGCGTCAACATGCCGATGGGTCAAGGGGGTTGGTTAAAGAGGTAGTTCGGATATGCAAGGGGTGAAGATGGAGGTGGTGGGTGTCAAACTTCAGCATGGGAGACAGGCAGGAGGGATGGATGGATGGAGAAGGTGTGTTGGTGAGGGTACTGGGTTATGGTAGAAGCCCTTGAAGGCTGAACACCCCGCCAGGTGGGAAATCCCATCGTGGTGGGGGTTTGGAGTGTTTGGCTCCCGTTTGCATGGAGACTACGTCATCTACCAGCCAATGGCCCAGGCCCTAGACCCTGAGCCCTATCCCTGATGGAGTGTTATCGGCGCAAGTTCAAACGAGCGTTCGGCCCATTAATCAACTGATATCGAGGCTGTCAGAGTGGGTATTATGCGGCCAGTATATCAAGGATGATTAACGAAATGGGTAGATCTTCTCCCATTTTTGACCATTGTAAAAGCAACGTTACTCGCCAGAGCGAAAGGCCATAATCAGGTACATACGGTACGAAATAGTATCACTATACAATCTTCAATCTATTGACTATAAGAGTACCGCATGTACGAGATAGTCAATTGATTGATTGATTGATTGATTGATTGAATTCATTTTAGCGCATGCGTCCCGTAGGGATATGGCGCGACAACTACTCTACAAGCCTCCTCCCTCCCCCACCCCATTGCTTCCATTACATTGGTGTACTCCATACATTAATTTCGTCCACTTTCAACCCTTGTTCTCGCCACCCCTTCGCTCTGGCGAGGGATGCCATTTGAGTTGAGCTCCAGTCTCTTTCGCTCGAGCTCATTCTCTCCTCTTTCTGAATCATTGTGACTAGACCCACCCCACCCCTTCACCTTCTGTCTGCTGCTCCAGTTGCCATATCTTCACCCTCCTGCTCTCCAGCTTCCTCCCACCCCCAGCATTCAAATCGTTCTTCCTCCTGCCGGTCTTTTTCTTCCTCATTGTACACTTTCCCTACGTCTGTAGCTTCCAAGAACTCGAGGACGGCCACCGTGGCCTTTGGCTCTGCGAACACTGAAGAGAGTGCGTGCGTCCTTGTGAAACCTACTTGCCTGAGGTTTTTCCAGAGTTTCTCTTGTTGCCTTCTCCAGTGTCTACATTCTTTGAAGAGGTGATCGCGGTTTTGTCGGGGAGCTCCGCACCACCAGCACTCTTCCTTCTCTGCCCTTTTGATTCTTTTCAGGTATACTGCGGTTATGCCAGTGTCTGTGGCAAACCTGAAGTACCTGCGAGCAAGGCTTTTCCGAGCATTCATGGCCGTGCTGTCGGGGTTTTGGGTATGGCAGAGTTTGAATCTATGTGGGTAATAACGCCCACATGTTTTGCCTGCCCTACGAGATAGTCAATTTGATTTGATTGATTGATTGATTGTAATCATTTAAGCGCATGTGTCCCTTTGGGATATGGCGCGAATACGAGATAGTCAATTGCTGGTGATTGATTGATTGATTGTAATCATTTAAGCGCATGCGTCCCTTTGGGATATGGCGCGAGAACTAGCATACAAAAACGTCCCCTTTCCGCAGTGTTATACAGCATCTACTCAAAAAACTCTGTTTCATCCGCTTTCAACCCTTTTCTCGCCGGCCTTGCTACCTTTGTAGTGGCCGCCATTTGAGCTGCACGCTTGATGCGTGCTTCGGCTCTCCTGTTTCTACCGAATCTTTCCTTCTTCTGCGTTACATGTTTGGTCTAACCCTCCCCACCTTCTTCTCCACCCGCTATCTCCCATCCCCACTCTTCTTGCTCCTTGTCCGCTCTCGCCAGGTCCTCTTCTTCCGTTTTGGATCTCCCCACCTGCGTTTCTTCGATGAATTTTAGGATTGCCTGAGTGGCCCTGGGTTCCGCAAAGATTGTCGACAGCGCGTACGTCTTCATGAACCCTTCTTTCCTCAGCGTGTTCCAGAGCCCCTCTTGCTCTCAATTGCTGGTGATGTTATAGTAACAAGTGTCATATAAAGCTAAACCTTTGGCACAAACAACCTGGTGGGATGGCCGAGTGGTTTTAAGGCGCCAGTCTTAGGTTTCTCTGATAACTGGTGGATTCATCCGCGCGAGTTCGAATCTCGCTCCCATCATCATAATTTTAATGCGTGGATCGGGTGACGTTTGGTTTTTTGCGCAGAGACACTGATGTCGTTTTTCTTAATATAACAAGCGACTGATTAAGCAGACGACATCTTCTCGAGTTGCATCACGAAAATGCAGTGATGTCAGTGCGGTGATAAACTTCTTGTCACAGTCGTCTTGTGTTTCCGTGCCTGAGTGTCAAGTTTGCTCGCGGCATTCGAATGCTATCCTCTTCCCCCACCACTTTCCGTCCTCCCCTCTTCTCCGTCCTGAAGATTTTCGCCTCCCCCTTGAGCTGTCCTCCCCCTCGCTGAGCCCTACGAACGGTACCCGTGTCGTGTGCTCGCTCCGGCTCGCCAAGCACGTCACCATCAAGCGAGCATCGCAGCACCTAATAAAAAAAGATCCGCTCACCCCGCCTCGGCCACCACCATCAACGTCGACCGTCGACCAGAGCAATCCCCAATCCACCCTGAGCCCTCCCGGGCACCCCCAGACCACCGCCGGTCTCCTCTGCGGCCATGACACCCATCTCCCGCCGCTTCTTTACCGCCTTTTACGAGGCCCTAACACACCTCCGACCAACCACGGCCGCCGCCAAACAGCCCGCATCACAATGCTGCAGCAAACTCCGACCCCTCCGGTCCTCCACCCCGCTCGGAATAAGAACCTACTTTACCTCGTCCATGGCTCCGGTTGCCGCCGCGTCGTGGGGCCCTAGATCACGCTATGTGGTGTCGAGAGGGTTTGCCGGATTCTGCGCTTGGACTACAGTTCCTTCGACAAGTACAACAGCCCCGTCGGCATCGTCTGTCGTTGTTGAAACTACAACTGCGGCTTGTAAGGTCTTTGACCGTGCGAGGGTATATGGTGCAATACGAAGACTGCACACCGACCGCCGAGGACTGGGGAGACCGGCGAGGAAAACTCAGGTCAAGAGGAGTAGTACGTCATCGTCTGGGCGGCAGAGGAGACCATGGCCGCGAGACGAAAAGCGGGGGGAGAGAGACCGATATGGGAATTCGGAAAGGAGAGAGCAGATTGGGTTGAATGGGAGGAGGAAGGAGCCGCCGGTGATGGAGCAGCCGGCCATGTCCAGGAAGCCTACGCCAAAGGAACATAGATATCTGGATCGCATTTCGAACATTCATCGCCCAACGAAAGATGAGATGTTGGCGGCAGCTTCAAATTTCTGGCAGAGGCTACGAATAAGGACAAAGTGGACATTGATCAGACAAATGCGGCCATATAATTGGGAAGATATTAGCGCCTTCTTTTCATGGTTAATATTAGGGCATATGATCTGGATTGCTGTTGGTACAACCACGTTCTTCGGAGTAGTCGTGGTGTTGCTGAACTCCGTCATAGCCCAAGGTTGGATTTTAACTCCGAGATTCATGAAGCTGTACTGATGAGAACAGAAACGGTCGCCGGAGCTATCGGAAACTATCTCACCAAAGAGACTGGTGTGCAGGTTGTCTTCGAGTCCGCTATTGTACCAAAATGGAGGGACAACAAGATTTCTTTCCACAATGTCTTTGTTTCCCGCAGGCCTGGCCATCACGCTTCTCGCAATGTCCAGAAAGGCTCTCCCGAGACCGCTGCTGCTGCTGCTGCCGCCGCCGTGACTGCAGATCACCAAGCAGGCGAGCATGCCACCGAGGAAGAGGAAGACACGAATTACACGCAATTCGACGTGACGATCGAAACAGTCAACGTGACGCTCTCCTTCGCTCGCTGGATGAACGGCAAAGGTCTCCTTAAAGACGTCGAACTCAAAGGCATCCGAGGCATCATCGACCGCACTCACGTTTTCTGGGAAGACGACGTCGACCCTCGTAGTTATAAACACAAACACCAACCCGGCGACTTTGAAATCGAGTCCTTCCGTATCGAAGACCTCCTCGTTACGGTTCACCAACCAGACAATTTCCGCCCTTTCTCCGTCTCCATCTTTTCCTGCGAGCTTCCACAGCTAAGGAAGCAATGGCTGTTCTACGATTTCCTCTCCGCCACCAACTGTTCCGGCAGCTACGACGACTCCCTCTTCACCATTCACCCGCGACAGTACCGCTACATCTCGGACAAATCCAGCGAAACCAACACGCAGTACAAGAAAACCTCGCGGCTGCGCATCGATGGGCTCAACATTGACCACCTCAACCGTGGAATCACCGGCCCGTTTTCTTGGATTACCTCCGGCACCGTCGACATCATCGCCGATGTCCTTTTCCCTCCCGATCCAGACGACTTTCACGTTTCGAAACTCGTCCAGGATATCTATGAACAAATCTCCCCTTCCACCTCTTCCACATCATCATCATCGTCGTCATCATCATCCCTCATAACCCCCCCACCCCCCATCGCCTCCGAATCCGACCTCCCAGACTCCCGTCCCCCCTTCACCCCCCTCCTCAACCGTCTCCTCCCCCTCCTCGAGCGTCACATCCCCCCGCAACTACGCACCCTCCTCGACCCCACCTTCCCCGCCCCGCTCTCCTCCATGGCGCTCTGGGAGCCCGCGCGCCCGATCCCAGACCAAGTCGTACTCGACCTCTCAGTGGCTCTCAACGACGTCAGAGCAGCGGTTCCAATCTTTACGAGCGATTTGAGCTATGTGAATAACGCGCTGATACGGCCGATTGTCGCGTATATTAATTCCAGGAGGACGATGATACCGATTAGGTGTAGGGTGGTCAAGAAGGTGGTTGAGTTTGAGGGGAGTTGGACGCTGTTTGATTCGGGGCTCATGGATGATATGAGTGCGGAGGTATGTGTTGTGTTTCTTTTTTTTGTTTTGTTGTATTGTGTTTTTGGAAAGGGGGGGTTGGGGAATTGGGGATACATGGCTAACGGGGGAACAATAGACATACGAAGCGTTCGCGAGAAACGTGACGGATCAGCAGGCCCAGCGGAGGAGGCTGAGGAAGGTCGGGCTGTGGTCGTTGCAGTTGTTGGCGCAGGTCTTGTTGATGGCGATGGCGGGGACGGTTGCGTAATCCGTTTGTCCCATCCCTCACTTTGCTGCTAGTGGTGTGGGTATGGGGGTGTTGGAGGGGTCGATGTGGATGTGTGTGGATGCGGATGGATGGAGGAGGGAGGTGGACGGGCGGGGAACAAGAAGAATGGGAGTATCGGATTGGGGATAGGAGATTGGATTGGATTGGATTGGAGAGGTAACAGGGAATCCCGGATGAACAACAGTATTCCTACTCTGATTCCTATTCCTATACTCCTAAATTCCTACCCCATCCCATCCCCTTCCATTCCTATTTCTATTCCTATTCCCATCCCATTCCTATACTCCTATACTCCTACATCCCTTCCCGTCCAAATCCCTACCCCACCATCCCACCCTCAAACCGTCGCCACCGATCTCATCCCGACCCACAATACCCCCCACTCTAAAACCACAACATAATATATGCTATGTGGTGATGAAACGGAGGCCTCGAATCAGTGGGAGCAGAAGGCGCAGAAGGAGGACTTGGGGGTGATGGGGAAGGGGGAGGAGAAGGAAGCCGTGGAGGACGGGTCGGAGGACTCGAAGCAGAGAGATTCAGATCAGAGGGATCAGAAGGAGTAGAGTCAAGAGGAGAAGAAGAAGGAGGATGAGGGGGATGGGGGGCGTTACCCATATACTACTATAGGGCCATAGTTTACTCTAATCGTACATTAGGGCTCTACTAGACGAATTGTAAGATAGAATGAAACGTTTATGAGCTAAACATCGTACTGGACTAGTACAGAGCTGTAGAAACACTAGAGAGGATGATAAATCTTGTGTTTTGTAAAACCACTCTGCTCGACTTGATTCGACTTGAATCAACTCGGCACACCCACACTACACTTACACTAGATACCCATACCCCATACCCCATACCGCGGCTACATAACTCTAAATCCCCTATAATCCCCCCCTCCCCCCCTCTCCCCACTCCCCCTACTGGACCTCCTTCTCCTCCCCGAGCACACACCCACTCAACCACTCTCCCACAAACACGCCCTCTGGATCAACCCCCCTCCTCACCTCCCTCCACCGCCTCATCCCCTCTCCATACATCCCCGCCCACTCCTCTCTCCCAACACTCACACAGTTTTTCGCCCAATGCGGTTTCCCGCCGTACTCCTTCATGAGGAGCTCGAAGGCGGTGTAGTAGCGTTGCCAGTGTGGCGGGTTGCGGTGGAACGGGCGGTAGAGCGTGGCGTTGAGGTAGAGAGTGGGTGACTCCGAGCCCGCGGGACTGGATACCGTCTTCTCAGTGGCGCCGCCCTCTGCCGTGGTGGATGTGGACAGTGAGGATGGGGAGAGTAAAGCAGAGGGGACGATGGATTGATCTAAGAACGGGCGAGGGGTTTCGAAGGCAGAGGTGGTCGGGTCCGTGGGACAGGTGTTGGAGACGCGGACTTCGATGGGGGCGTGCACGAAGATGTTGGACGGGGAGATGGGGATGTTGGCGGATTTGAGATCGTGGGTGAGCCAGGCTGTGAGGCGGCGGAGAGCGGCGGGGCCGTGGTGGAGGGGGATTGCCCACTGGAAACGCACGTATCAGCATCCCATATCATATTATCCTATTCACATACACACAGGAGGAGGAGGAGGAGGAACGGGGAATGGGGAAGAACACACCTCATTAACCAACTGGCTAAACAAGCAATCCATCGTCAATGCCTCATCACTCTTCTCCACGGCACCCACAACCTCCCCAGCTAGCAACTTCCCATACTGCATCCTAAACACCCATCTCTCTACAACCGGCACCAGACTCGGGAACCAAGTAGCCACATAGAGCGCAGCCTCATACCCCCACCTCCTCCAACCCTCCGCATACCAACTCGCCGGCCTCCCCGTCCTCGGCTCCTCCGTCTTATCTGCATACCACACGACCGCCTTCCCCGAATACGGGAACCACCAGCACCTTGCAAACTCATGGTGGTGCCAATCCGCGTTATCCCAATTCTCCACGAACTCCGTCCAGTCCACCACTTTCTGTGTCCACCTCAAATC